AGTATGATTTTTTAAGCATCGTTGATGTCAGAACGTTATGTTCGCGTAAGTGATGACGGTGTTTCTTTATACTATTTATTCTTTTTTCTTTATACTATACTACTTTTCTTTTACACGCTTTGATCGGCTTATAACAGTTTGCCTTGTGCTTTCAGCTTTCTAGTCTTTTGCAAGGCTTTTCTACGACACAGAAATGTGTCGTAATCGGATTACCTTCAGTTTTATTCCCTTTTCTCGCAATTTATTAACGGTGCTGATGGTGGTTGTGGGGACGGAATCTCAATGAGTTGCTAAGTCGGTGAAAGAGGAGAAGCTCGTCAAATCTGGCATTTTTCCAGTCAGTTCGATATCGCCAGGCACGCACAACAACTTCAGGAGTTTGACAATGATAAGCGAGTCATCCTTTATTGAATCGATCGAATCTAATGTCAATCATAATATTGGGTTGGTATTGGTAAAAGACTTGTCTGGGAGAATAGCAGCACTGGCTAGATACATCGGTAGGCCACCAACCGCGAGTCATTGTAAAAAGGCCAGATATGCATTCAGTCACCTCCAACGATACTTAATGAAGTCGAATGCATGGCGCATCCCTCAGCGATTCATCAGCGCCGAGAGCTTTATCCTTTATCCTTTATATTAGGTTGGTTTAGGTTCTTGTGGTGTAAGTTTTGTAAGCAGTCTTTTTTATGGAAGACCTTCTTCATTGGAATTTCGTGTAAATTATTTCAATTAAAGTACTTTTCATCGTTTATTTCTCTCTTTCCAATTCCGTTTGTTCTGGTTAACAAGGTTATCCGGACTTTTTTCCCAAGCAGATGTCGTTTTCATCAACGTCATCGTTCTGGATTTTGCAGTCCGTCCCACCTCTCCCTCTGCAACGAAATTTTGATCGCTCACTTCTCGCGCTACTCAGATATCTCATTCATAATTTTTCTACTTCATCACCTGCACCACCCGTACTCCCGTTGATCGTCGAGTGACTCGAGCGCGCGCCCCAATAATTCTTCTATTTTTCCCTGTCGCCTGCAAAAGTAGCCCAGTGAGTTCTGCTCGCTCTAATGACTCGTTGAGCCTCATATCTCTCTTCTAGGTTTTTCGTGAAGAGCTCTGACGATCAGGTCGGTAGTCTTCCTGCTGTGCGTTTGACATCCCGAGGAACCCAGTCACTAACGGCTGTCGTCCATCGATTGTCATTCATACGCATTACGTGTTCGGCTCACTTTGCCTTCGACTGTTTGGCGTACAGAACCGCATCGTTGATTTTTGATCTTTGCTCTTCTCACTACATCTTCGATACCCTTGAAAGCTGCCCATGCCGCTCGTTTCCTTCTTTCTGCTCAAGTCTGGAGCTAAGTCGTTCATCATTTTGATTTCCCGACTAGATAGAATTAACTAGAGCATTCGGAGATACTCGTTCCGTTGAACGTGAATGGGGAATGCGAAACCAATCCGTTTTTCATGAACATCGTTTTTGTGAGATTTAGTCGAAGACCAATCTTTCCACAGGCTTTATCAAAGTCGGCAAGCATACGTTCCGCTTGGCTAATGTTCGGTGTTATAAGGACGATGTAATCAGAAAAGCAAAGATGGTGTAACTGCCGACCATCGATTTTCAATCCTATATTATCTCATTCCAATGTTCGCATGACGTTCTGGAGGGTGGCGGTAGATAATTTTGGCGAGATGATATCGCATTATCTAACCCCTCTTCCGACGTTAATGTTAACATCGTTGTAGAATGTTGATATCTTGGTTGTGAAATTTCTGTACATGAAGAATCTTTATGTACTGAGCAGGGACTCTTTGACTATCAAGGGCTTCCATGACTGCTTCTATCTCAGTTGAACCAGAGGCCTTCAATAAGTCGATGAAAGTGAGACAGAGCGGTCTTTTGTATTCTCGCGATACTTCAGTGAGCCTTATTATCGTGTGGATGTGCTCCATTGTACTAAATCGTTTTCGAAACCCTGCTTGCTCGCATGGCTGTCCTTCGTCCAGTGTTCTGTCAATCCTGTTGAGGATGACTCGAGTGAAAAGCTTGTAGACAGCAGACAGTAAGCGCATTGAGCGATAGTTGCCGATATCGTGTAGGTCACCCTTCTTGAACAATAACACGGGCTTATCGGTCTTCCACTGAGTAGAGACCTTGCATTCAGACAGGTAACTTGTGAAGACCCGAGCCAGTGTGTTTACGAGGGCTGGCGGTAGGTTCTTCAGGTGTCCTGGTCATATGCTGTCCCGACCTGGTGCTGTTCGATTTTTCACCGACGAAATCGCATGTCGGGTTTGGGAAGGGAGAACCGGTGGTACAACATATCCATCCTCCTTTACTTCATATGACGGAGGGTGGACGTGGCTATCGGAGATCTGAATAGTATTCGTGAATGATTTTCTCCATCGCCTTTCTGGACGCTGTGACTATTTCGTCTGGGCGTCGGAGTGCAATCATCTTGGTTTCGTATTTGCGAAACTTCGGTGGACTTTGCGAATGCTTTCCCCAGTCTCTGCAGCTTCGACCATTACTGCTGCTCTTCTCTCGTTAAGATCTTCTTTTATCGCCTGTCTGCATTGTTTTTCAAGCACGAACGTTAGTTCGCAGTTGCCTGCAGCTCGTGCGATTCCACGCTGGCGCATCAGCTAGAGTATTTCTGGAGACAAACGTCTCTTGGCGACTTTCGAACTCTCAGATTTCATAGCGCTAACGCGAAGATGTTGAATGAGCCGATCGTATTCTTCGTCGATGTTATCGACACCGGCATCTTTCCAACAGCCGACTAATGAATTAAATAAGTCTCAGTTTACGGTGGTTCTGGGAGTTCGGTTTTTGAATTTAGCGGCTTTTTGTCCTTTCCATAAGAAGTAGAATCTTACACGAAGGAAACGGTAGTCTGATCCCGCGTAGAATTTTGGGATAACAGCGACATCGGTTAGGTAAAACCTATTTACTATGTTGTGGTCTATTTCGTTATGGTACTCTGCATTGGAAGACTCCCACGTCCAGCGTTTCTACTTCATATACATATTTATTTGTAATTTGCTTATAAACAAATACTGATTGTAGTTTTTTCTCGCCCAGTTGACTTCTGATACGATTCCTTCTACTTTGATAATTTAGATCAAGCTTATCGATAAGTCCTACTCACACTCGATATATAGACTTTGAGAGGTTCTCCAACAGGCGGAATGTCGATCGATTATCGACTTTTCATATTGAACAGGAATCTGCCTGGTATCCTACATTCTGCATAGATGAACATGTTTTTATAGAATATTTCAGGCAGTTTGGAGAAATACTATATTGCATAGGTGCATAAATGTATAGAAAGAGATTGGATTGTTTAAATGATATTGTTGCATTGTTTCACAATGGTTTATGGCCTCGCAGTGGCTGATGGATGTTCGTGGGGTGTCGGACTGCGTTGTACAGCTGGTGCTCGTTCCATGACACATCAGGGCGACCCAAGTTGAGGTGTTCGAGGGTTCTGCCTTGATGCCCAGCTAGGAGTGAACCTGTACTACAACATAACCCTCTCTTTCTCCTTGCGAACAATAGTAAAAGTGAAGAACTTCATATCAGAACCTTGATACTCTTCCTATGATCCCAAAGAAACGAGGTGATTTGATATCTCTGACGCAAGAGAGAGGCTACTGCACACTTATCCGGTGCCCAGTTCAGTTGCTCTACGAATAACATGATCACAGGTCATGCAAGTGGAAGCTTGTTCCGATGTAACTTGAGGCTTCGTTATAGAACTGCTTTACATCTATCTAAGCAGCTGAGCACGCTAGACTTCTTCAGAGATATTCAGCAAGACTTATTTGGTTTTCGTAGCATCATATTTTTTGTTTTGTCAGATGTATGGATAGTAAGGTATTTTATTCGTTGGCCCGTCATCATTTGTTGGTTGCCCCACAATTCTTTCATTCGACTCGCTGTCTAAAATCATTCAAGTCAAGTCATTCGGTCATTCAAAGGTACTCAAGGTCAGAGAAGCGAGTCATTCACCAGCGTATTCGGATTTATGGGTTTGACTGGCACTTGAGCACTTTTTTCTTCTTCATAAAAGATGTTGAATACTGATCCAATTGATTCTTCCTGGAATCTCGGGGTAGCCGTATTAAGGCATTCTCAGATTTTCATTACAGAAGGTTTTCATCAATTGGAAAGAACTTTACTAAAACAAGTTTGGCACCATTTTCTCGACCACGGAGGAACGGGAGGCTCTTGGTTGGCTCGGGCGGTACTTGAGCCAACGCCTTACGCACACCGCACCGCTGTCTGATGTTGCAAATTAGTAATATGAAAATTTCTACTTCATTGGTAACACCCTTGATCGGATCGGTAGAGATGGAACGAATTCCACCCAGTTGTCATTGTCATTTGTTCAACTTCAGTTCCCTTGTCCTTAGATTTCAATTCTCCTTCTTCTTCTCATTCTTTTTTTGTAGCATATCCTACTGCCGACTTTCTTTTAACCTCGCTATTGACCAATAACCACTGTTTTCTTGATGAGCAAATACGACGTTGTTAACACTAATATTTAATCCATACAATGCTGGTTGATGTATCGGCGGTTTCGCCTTTTTCAGAGCCTGGAAGAGTCGAAGTGTCAAGCAATCCACTCATCGCACGCTACCATAACCTCAGCAGACAAAACTCGATTTATAAATGATTATTTATATAGAAAGCCAGTTAATTTTTGCATAGAAACAGGCATTGATATACTCGATTTTCTACTGGTTTTTTCTCTAGGCCAAACTCCATTTTCGTGATTACCATATATCGTCGCCATTTGCCATTTTTACCGCATGACTGTTCTCAAGTCAATCTTATGACTTTATTCGTGTGCCTTCCGGTAGGTTTCACTTCTACCGTAATGATTAGAATTTAGATTTATTCAAACTGAATTCATTCTTCTTGTGAACTTTTATCACTTTGTTCGAACCCTAGCAGTTATTACAACCACGATATTTTCAATTACTATTCATCGACGACAATGACCATTAGCTATTCGGATACGTTTGTGAAGTTGTTGTTTCGATGGAAAGGCTCGCTGTGGAAGGCAATTTGGCGGCATTTACTTGTGTTTTTATTAATCTACTATACAATAAATGGTATCTATAGGTGAGTGAAATTCATTAAATAACTTACTAACAAAGAAGGCTCGTGTGGCGTAGTGGGCGCCAATGCGACACACACGTGGACCCACTAAGCCTTCCATCCCTCAGAGGTCGGGGCAAATTGGTACCAGATTTCTCTGGGAGAATAACGGCACTGGCTCGATACATCGGTAGGCCACCGCAAGTCATTGTAAAGGCTAAATATGCATTCAATCACTTCCAAACGATCTTAATGAAGTCGAGTGCATGGCGCATCCCTCAGGGATTGATCAGCGCCAAGAGCTTTATTCTTTATTCTTTTTACCAACCACCAGTGACCTAAATACTGGGAACCAATCGCAGTGGAAATCGGCATGGATCGTGATTGGTCGGCGAAGGGGCTACAGTAATTTTGCATGGCTAAGTTCGAAGAAAAAACATTTGCAATTGGAGAGAAAACACGACCTTCTCTTTTGGGACTTGATATAGGGCCTATTTATCCATGTACACTTGAACAAGTCTATTACATTAGCAAATACTTTTCAAGTATAAGTTCAATGATGCTACTGAGATATTTGCAAAACTCCGGACCGCAGATGCCTGCGCTGGGGAACGAACGCGCTATTTCGCTTTCCGAGGAGTAACGCGTTCACCACCACACCATCGGAGTCCTTCGTTTTGCCTGTCTCTCATCTACTTCTATCGATCTTTTGCCATCAGCAATCACCCGTCAGCGGGATTGATCTGGCGAGCTGTAGCGCGTTCGTTCCCCAACACAGACACCTGCTGTCCGCAGTTTTGCAAATATCTCAGCATCATTGAAGTTATTTTTCGCAATATATATCCTGCAAATAAAAAGAGTAGGCAGTAAATAATAAGTTAAAACTTCTCAAGTAGTTTAAAAGTGGCTTTGTTGATTGATTTTAAGTAAAAATCATCCAAGTGTTTTTATTTCTTACTTTTTTTCTTCTTCGTGCTTCTTGGCAACAATTTTTAGGTTCCTAATGACTCCCGTGCAACAAGAGGTCTTTGTGAAATACGTGGTGTTGTTCGACAGTTGGACGAAAGAAATTCCATTGACATTTCTTTTAGGATTTTATGTAGCGATGATTATTCGAAGGTATGTGGTATGAATATTTAGGTGTGTCCATTTAAAGTATGACTATTCACTGGGTAAATGTTAGGTTAAGATATGGTTATGATTTGATATAGGATATACATCAACAATAGAAAGCTCTCTCAGTCGCTTGTCTGGCTTTTTTGAATCGTCTCATTAGTTCCGGCTAGCCGCAAATTCTTCTTTGTATTATTCTTGCTTTTAGAAAGAGGCAGAGAATACCGTCAGCGATCTTTTTTAACAGAAAAAAGTTTTAATTAGTATTTCCACTTTCCTGGCTCAAATAAGGTAATGTTGCCCTTTTTGAGTCCAAGTCTGATTTATCCACTACTTCTTGTGGTCGCTATTTTCTCAACTAGTGAAATTTAAGTTTTAAAAGGCAAGGTTATCTATAGTTTTTGTTTAGTATCTATTCTACCAATTAAAGTATTTAGATGGTGGGATTGCTGTCAACTAATCAGCTGGCCAGACCACTTACTCTACAATGTGTCGGCACTAATCCGAGGAAATGATGTGGGTTACGGTGGCATTTGAAATTCATTTTCATTGATCGCGTCAGGATCCAGTAGCATTTGATTTTCAGGCGGAAACACGAATTATTCGTAAGACGATGGCTCGATACGCAATTTTGTCGTCGGTACTGGCCTGGAGGAGCATATCATTGCGTGTTCTCGCGAGGTCATAGTTTACCTACCGTCATTTAGAAAATTCTAGTGATAAGAACAATTGCTTTTCCCAGTATACAAACATATAGAAACATATATCAAACACTTTAAAAACATCATACGAGCACCGTAGTGATTGCTTGGACATATCTACGCGTTTGTGGCAGGGCATTATGATGTAGGTGTCGGTTTCCATTCTAGACTATCATCGTAGAAACACTTTTACAACGTTATTTGTTCACGGAGTCAACGATCTTTTGGGATATTTTCTGCAGCTAAGGTTATTCATTTTGTTGATCAACTGGTAAGCATACGTCACGAATCTGTTTCTTTTCCATTGCGATTGAAGCCTAGATTCCGCGGTTTTCCGTTGGGTCATGGAGGTATTTCGCTAGCTAGATTGCAGTCAACTTGATGTTTTAGGCTCTGAGGCAAGTAAAATCCTCCGAAGCGTGGGTTTTGTAAATAACGAATACTTTGAAGATCTCATGTGTGCTTATCAGGAAAATGTTGGACTAATGCTAGGCTAAAAATATCCAAAAAAGACCAGAACCTAGGAGAAAATTATCTCCTTTTAGGAATGAAGTCGTTTAAAGAAGATATAATCACTCTGCCACCATATTTAGGTATCCAACAGAAAGGCATTTACTCGAGTCTGGTCTAATAAACAAAGAAGAAATGGAATTATTCAGAAAAATTCAAGTGAACGTGGATCCGCACCAGGTGATTGCGTTATGTTTATTCTTGTGAAATCAATGAAGATGGAAGTGATGACAGGTTTGATTGTGAAGTTGGCCAGATTTGATCTCCGTACAGTCTTTATAAATGTAGTGCACTTAGTGTCTAGCCGTTGAGAAATCTTCATTTTGTCTTCGTAGACATCAAACTTTGTTTTTTCAGCCTAAGCCCAAAATACATTACTTGGGATGAGTGCGTAAAGTGCCAAATTAAACGTTGTTCGCGTCACACAGCGCATTTATTATGTATTCGGAGTTTCTTGTTGTTGCCGTTCTTCCAGTCTATTGATAGCCTGTTCTACAGCAATGTTATGTCAAGCGTTACTTAGGTGTTCAAGATATCGCGGGCCACGGAGTTGGCTGTAAAGAGCGCGCAAAAATATCTCAACTGACTTCAGTATGAATTCTGGTTGTTGAATGTGAAACATGAAGAAGTAGACTCAAATTAATTGGAAAACACTTCCAAGTGTTGATACCAGAGGGCTTATAAAGAGCAGAGGTGTGGTCGAAGTAGCATATAACAAGTAGTAAAATGTATAAATTAATAAGCCAAACCGTTTTCTATAACTCTCTTATGCTCTCGACCCTTCAAGCCTTCTAGCTACTGGGGAAATATCGTCTATTGTCGAAAAGAAAAACCTGTGTTAACTTTTTATTTACTGTCTAACACTGTTTTTCACGGCAGGGTGCGTGATACAACCACATATCTGTGATACATACAAAATATCTCAGAAAAACCGGTGTTCATCATGTTCTGTGTTTACACTAATGAGTTGTATTGGGGCCGAGTTGCCCGGTCGAAATCCAAGTCCATACCTCACATGAAATTAGGCGTCGTCCCATGTGGCAGCCACAGAATTTGGCGATATCACATATAATAACCTGTCGTAAAAAAAGTGTAAAAGGCTTTAAATAAAAATTAACATCAGTTGGTAATATTTTTGTTTCTGGTAAGCCAGCAAACAAATATTGTTTAGAAACAACTTCCTTACTTGGATGGCCCTTTCTCACTAGTTGTGCTAGCTCCGGCATAATTTTTTTTGGAGTTTTGCTGGTTTACCTATTGTGGTTCGTTGAAGCTAGAGATCAGCCTTGCCAAAGTTTGCTCCTGGTTGTCACCACCACAGGTATTCGCCACCTCGTGGATTAGAGGGGGATTTGCCACCATGCAACTGGCTTGATACCAGGACGGTGGCGGATCATGGTTTTAGTTTACTTTTAGCTGAGCTTTCTGGTGGAAACGTCGGATTCCTTCTTAGTTTGGGAGCACTTGCTGGGAGGATGAATCCCCTCGCTGTACATTGCAGCTCGATACCCAGGAACACTTCCCGGCCACGATGAAGCGGTAAACCGTTTGGAGGGTCTATAAAGTACACTAGGAATAAATACGATGTGCTTGAAAGATGTCACCCATGGGTGATATTCCTCGCTCTAGTGGTTGTACATGTTATAGGTCGAATGATGGAAGTGTGTTATCGGGTAGACAAAATAATCTTCATCTTGTTCTCAATTATATGTATTGTCTAGTGATTAGAGATTGGAGGTGGTTTCTAGTACACATTGCATGGGCTAGTGGCTGGTTTGATCGCTAGTCCCATTCATCTGCGGGCGAACAACCTCAGTTTTTGGGTCTACCCACCCACGCACATCTTATTTGAAGCCCATTATGGCACTTTCTATAAAGTGATTCTACTTCAGAAATGGTTCGTGCCGATAAATTGGATACAAACGATGATGATTCGATGCTTCGAGAGAGGCATATTGAGTCACACGAACGAGTTACGCGTGTTGTTGGACGCTCTTGAGAAGTATCGAAATGGTTTCTTCCAACTGTTCATCTACGACTGGATTGCTATTCCACTCGTATACACACAGGTGAGTTTCGGTCGTCCAACCATTGGGTAGTAAGCCTTCGCTTATGTAATGTCATCAGTATGGGTGCTGCTCACCTAGGCTGAATTTCCGGTCCTACTCGTTAAAGGACGAGTGAACCACACAAGTCTTACCCTTTTATACCCTAAACCCAAGGAGAAAGTTGTTCCGATCCACTGGTACGGTTCGTAGTTTTCGTCACGAACGCAAATCAAAGAACTTTTGTAGATCCGTTTATATAATGTGAATTTAATGCCTAGGAGTTTAAATATCCTTCTTTCTAAAAGATTCTGGAGTACACCTCTTATTACCTCATGAAACTTAAACTTCATATGGTCTCTTGTTCAAAAAACACAGAAATTCTCGTACAGATTAGTGCACTGAAAAATCAGGAACAATCCTCCGTGTTTTGATCGGTGGTAACAAAGAGGGACCAATTCACTAATCTAGACGAAAAGCAACGAGTACGCGACATTTTCAAGGTTGTCTTGATATGGCTACGTTTCTTATTTATAATGGCTGTCTTCGCAAAACATTGTAGACTACATAGTATATCTACATTCATTGTCTGATTAAGATTCATATGTTTTACTTAAAATTACTTGCTTGATACTTGAATGTCCCGTCCTCACTGGTTGTGCGGGTCCCAGCATAATGTCCGTTTTTCGGGGATTTGCAGGCTAAGCTGTTATGGTTCCCTGGACTCCTAAGGTCAGCCTGGCCAAAGTCTGCCCCAGGTCTTCACCACCACATGCAGTTGCAGCCCCTTTGGATCAGAAGGAGATTTGCAACCATGCGACGTTGATACTAGGACGGTGGTGAATCCTACCGCTGGTATTCCAAGGAATAATTTAAATTTATGAATTATAGGTTTCCACAATATCCGTGTATGGATATTTCGCATTTGCATTAATTGGACGACAATTCCCCAGTCAAAACGAATATCGAGAAGTGGTAGATTTGTAAGCATTTTGAGTGTTATGCAAATGATGTCGTATTGCGGTGCACCTATTCTGTTGACAAAATGGCTAGTTGTTTTAGTGACTACAATAACACTTGAATTTAGATACGTGCCAATCTTCACGATTCTTCAGTTCTTGTTTTATGTCGGTTGGCTGAAAGTTGGCGAGGATTTGATGTTCCCCTTTGGTGCTGATGACGAGGATTTTGAATTTAACTATATTTTAGAACGTAATCTAGAGGTATTCAAGTTCCGTCTAGCGATTTGATTTTAATGGTTTTCAAAATTAGCTTATGCACTGGCCTAGACATAGTAGGGTAACCTTTGTGAAAGACCACTCGCTGGAATTTCATACAGCATTATCGGGAAGCAAAAGATGCAACGTGAAAAAGATAAAAAGGAGGAGGAGAAATTTTGTAACGCTTGGAAATAGCAGTTTGAATTGGAATGAAGGCCCTATCGACTCGTCCAGATTTAACCTATTTTTTTAGATGTAGGAAATATTCAGTAGTTAGCCTATCTTTATTAAGAACACGTTCTTGGAATCAAAGTTCTCTCAATGAAGTGATGATTATCTTGCCTAATCTCACAACCTCGAAGGATCCTGAATTTATAGCATTGCTTTGTCTTATCAAATATATTCGTAATGTATTTAAGATAGCGTATCTGATTGTTGACGATCTCCACAATCAAGTTCCACCAGTATATGTGGAGTCATTAGATGAAAAAGTGAAGGTAAGCACAGATGTCATTATGAGTCAACAAAAAGGCTGTTCTGTCATAAGTTCATCTCTTTTGAACCATAGCTGTTCGTCAATCATGACACGTAATGGGCAGGTGAACTTGCTCATGTTTGGAGAAGAAGAACTTGTCAGGTTTCCATTGATTATTTTATCCACACCTTATAACGAAAGCTTCCAGTTAATGCATACGAAAGCGTCTATTCAATTGTCAAATCATCCTCAACGTCAGCATTTAAGAAAGTACAAATTAGATCCGGGCGCAATGATGATTTCGAGGGAACCATCATTGAAAAGAGGTAATACAATTGATTTGAACATCTTTTCCAAAGATATTTTTTGTCTAAAAAATTTACATCGTGTTAAAAGCATTCGATGTCGCGGATAAAATAAAGGATAGAGCTCTCGGCGTTGACCAATCCCCTGAGGGATGCGCCATCCATTCGGCTTCATTAAGTATCGTTGGCGGTGATTGAATGCGTCATTGACCTTTACAATCACTTTCGGTGGCCTACCGATGTATTGGGCCAGTGCGGCTATCCTTCCAGACAAGTTTGGTACCAATTTGTCGATCCCGGAAGGATGGAAAGCTTGGTGAGCCATGGGCACAGGGATCGGCTCCACGTGTGTGTCGCAGTGGCGCCCCCATCCACTGCGCCACACGCGACCCCGCGGATGAAAAGTAGATTCTAGAGAGCCTTTGTTTGGAAACGGTAGCATCGCAAGTGAAGAACTTTGCTGTGGTTGTATTTCTTGTCTGAAAACTCTCCATGATTTTAAGAACACGATATCGATATTTATTAGTTATAATATTTAAGCAGGATAGGTGGATTAGATCCTCCTTCAGATTGTAAAGGAAGATTATAAACATCACTTCATAGAGTTCTAGTTTCAACCCCACTCCATCAATGTGGGTTTTCCAAAATTTTCGCGGACGAGTTGCCACAATAAGGTCCAAATTGCTTGCCGTCTACCGGCGCATGGCAAAGGTGCTCAGTTAGCATTTAGTTGCAGCATATCGTTTCGCATAGGTTATAGTGCTCCATCCTTCCGTCTCACCGTTCATATAGTAATTCTAGCAAGTAAGTTCTTACTACATAATTACATAATTGCATAAAGTCTACGAATGACATGTCGCTCTCCAGCCTATGACCCTACCGTTTGACAATTTTTCATACTGTACTGAATTTTCGACTTCTTTTAAAGATTAACTAAGTTCACCTGACACGAAAATACAGTGATTTAACTTCAGTGATGCTGAGATATTTGCAAAACTCCGGACCGCTGGTGTCTGCGGTGAGGAGCGAACGCGCTATTACCCTTTCCGGGGTCTAGCGTGTCCACCACCACACCATTCGGGTCCTTCGCTTCGCCTTTCTGTCAGCCAGTTTTATCGATCAGTGCTATCAGCAGTCACTCGTCAGCGACATTGATCCGGGAAGCCCAAATTGGAAATGAACCCGATGGCTGATTACTGATGGCACTGATCGATAGAACTAGCGGAGTGACAGGCGAAACGGAGGATCAGCATGGTGTGGTGGTGAACGCGTTAGCCCCCGGAAAGGGTAATAGTGTGTTCGGTACCCCACCGCAGACACCTGAGGCCCGGAGTTTCGCAAATATCTCAGCATCATGGAAGTTATATTTCGCAACATTCACTACCATGAAAAAAATAGGCAGTAAATAATAAGTTAAAATACAGCAATTTAATTCAATTTAAGGCTAAGTTCGTTTTTCCTTCTCACCAATCAAATTGGGTTGTTGAAGTTTTTACCTTCATATTTCATGCACAGTTCTTTGTTTTCCCGTTAAAAACGAGCACAATTTGGCATGAGCTCTTTCTTGTTGATTAGGTAAACGCTAAAAGCTTTCGGCGTCGATTAGTCGCTGAGAGGTGCGCCGTGCATTCGACTAGACTATTGTAGAGGTGGTCAAATGCATATCTGAGCCGAGCAATGACTTGCGCTGTTGTGTCGAGTTAGTGCTGCCATCCTTCCAGACAACTCTGCTACCGATTTGGCTATCTTGGAGAGATGGAAGGCTTGGGGAGCACGGGCGCCGTAGGGGTCAACGACCACGCGTATAACGGGGTAGCTGCAACCACTGCGCTATACATATCCTTTGTTAATGAGATACTTATATCGATAGGCACTAGAAGTTTCTATCAGAGTAGCCATTATTAGATTTGATCGAACTTGTTTCAAATCTGGAATTTTTCTTTGTAGGCAACTAGTAGAAGTAAATATGAAAATTTAGAATCCTTCTCTTACGATAACAATCAGGATATGTTCATCATTTTCATTTTCAGGCAACAAAGGCACAACAATGCAATACAATACAATCAGCGAACTATCGTTCACCGATTTTGATAAGATGGTCAATGGTCCACGAAAGAAGACAGGTCAAAAATAGCGTCTGAATTTGTTACTTAAAGAATTGGGAAGTTACGAATGGTTATGAAAGCAGGAAATAATGCGCAGATTGGACAGGGTTGCATCAAAAACGCCAACAAGTTATTGTCATTGTCTGATTGGGACAAAGCAATGAAGAGCACAGCTACTACCGGAGAATTCTGTTCAACTGTTTTCTTTGAGGAGAACCGTCTCATCATCGAGTGGCTCATGTCACATTTCTCATCATCAGTTGTTCTCAGTTTCATCAGAAGTACCAGAAAAAAGTTTATTCCTAGAGAAAGTGTGGAATAACCTTTATGGAAATGTGTAACGCGTACGAAATTATAGCATCATCGCAATGTGTTGTGCTCTAACATATTATGAACATCGATTGTCTTAGTTTACGCAGAAATATAGTGCTGTCACTGCTATGGTCATTGTTTACGGCTGATGTTGATATTGTTTAATAAGAATATTATTAACAACAAAAACACTTATGGCGATTATACTGTTGTGTGGTCGATTCCTCAAGGGTGCACAACAACCATGCCGTGTTTTGACATTAGGACCGCCCACAAGTGTCAGGACTTTTTACCCGTCTGTAGTAGTTACCGAGAACCATTGTATTAGGTTGAGCTATAGGAAGACCTTGAGTAGAAATTTATAGTTCCTTCAGAAAAAATTGCCATGAAATCAAGTTGACTTGAGTGACTTGTAGAAAAAAATCGATGATATCACTGTAAGGGTGCATATCACTTCTTGGAATTATTTTTTGTATTTTTAATCGCTTTTAGAACTAATGATTTGTATAGACTATTTATCATTCTGTACGATTGTCGGCTGTGACACCAACGAGAGCACGGCTGTTGCTAAGATCAATCTCTCATTTCGAGAACAACATCGTTTGAAATGTCGGCGGTTCAATCATTTGGTTCATGGATAAACTCAACAATAAAGAACGAATGAGAACCACATTCATGCGCTCTAAAAGCTCAGGATTTTTATGGTGGTGTAGTAGTTAGACTTGTTAGCAAGAATGTGTGAATTCTAGTGGTTCTGATAATCAATTTTATCGTAAGCTGAAAGTTCAAACCCCATAGCTATTCTTCTAAGAAATCGGTTATTTTCCGGAAACGCCGAAATCTCTGGCGATTGTGTTCTCATGGTGATGACCGTTCGGGCCATCCAACTGGGGTTAAGCTTTCTGTCTATCGTAAAAATTGTTTTTTTCTAAAAATGGTTGTATTGTAGCACCTTTCTGAAAAATAGCGGCAATACTACATGAGCTTTTTTGTTATAGCGTACAGTCTGCTGATAAATTTTTATACAGTATATAATAATAAAGATCTATTCAAATAGAGACAATAAAATGAGGAACATTCAAGTATCGGTATTTTTGTGGATAACCACATATCTGCCTGCCTGATGAGTATTGTAGTAATTACCTGCAGCTCGTGCATGTGGCGCAGTGGTTGGAGGCACCACTGCGACACACACGTGGAATCGATTCCCGCGCCATGGTCCACTAAGCCTTCCATCTTTCGGGGTGGGCAAATTGATGCCAAACTTGTCTGGGAGGATAGCTGCAGTGGCTCAATACATCGATATGCCACCGCGAGTCATTGTGAAGGCCAGATATGCATTTATTCATCTCCAAACGATGTTTAATGAAGTAGAATGCACGGCGCATAGCTCAGGGGTGGATCAACGCCGAGAGCTTTGTCCTTCTATCTGTCGCTCGTTTCTGTTTTCATTTAATAAAAGACTATCAAAACTGGCAGCTGACACTTTAGTTGCCATACTCGTGATAAACGTCTTTCGCACTGTCTTTCGTGTCAGTTGTCTAAACAGATGCGATGGTTAATGAGAATGCGAATGGGCGAGTTTATCACATGTCAAAGTCACATTTGAAGGGATCATGAGGTACATTCGATCCATAGCCAAAGAGACATGACAGTTTGGATTCTTAACGGGCCACCGACAACATATGGCACAGGATTTTCGTCAAAACACATCATAACGGTGGCCTCATTCACCATGCAAGACATATGGGATCGATCCCTGAGCCCCAAGTCCATCAAGAGGTACAACCCTGCGGGGTCGGCAAATTGGTGCCAGACCCGTTTAGGAGGGTAGCAGCACTGGCTCGATACATAGGTAGGCCACCGCGAGCCATTGTTGAGGCCAGACATGCATTCAATCCCCTCCAACGATACTTAGCGAAGTCGAACACATAGCGCATTCTTCAGGGATTGATCAACGCTGAGAGCTTTGCCCTTTCTTACAGACACCAGATGTCAGTTCCAGAAATTTCTACAACGAAAATAGTGAAAGAGAGTGTGATCTCATCGAGAATACAATGCTAAAATTATCCCGTATCATATAAGTGAAAGCTGAAATCCAAGTCTTCAATCTGCACCGACGACCAACGTTTGGAACACTTCCGCATATGCCAAAATGTTGAAAATTAACCGCCTTGAACACATACGATGTGGTTTAACGAGATCTGGTAGGACATAACACGTTAACATCTTGATTAAATGCTATGGCCAGTTGATAACAGAAGGACCGTGGGTCCGATGACTAAACTATTTCGTGGAGTTTGTAAGTGGAATTATGGTCCTTCCTGAGCTTGGCAATTTTCGCTCGTGAAAGGACCATGCTGTTAATCAGTTGCTCAATAAAAGGTGATACAGGTCATAAGGAGACAATTTCTTCAAATATTTATGCCTTTTTTAGTGCATTTGCCAACTGGCTAACCCAAAGAAAACTAGACAGAATTGAACAAAAGTTAGAAAACGTTGTTTTGTATCAAAACGTCTACACTATCCCACATCGTTGAAAACACATTTTTCTCATCTTTTCGTCAATCATGGTGTTACAGTTGAGACGACAGTTGTCCATCTGCTTTATAGTCTGAAAACAATGTAGAAGAAGCTTGTGTAAATTAAGAACGAAGTAAGTTTTCCAGTAAATCGCAACTTATCAAGTGCTT